TTGTTGAAAACTTTCTTGTTTATTATGTTGAGTTGGATTTGAAATTTTCACACCCTTTTTCTCATTCACTTTTGGTGAAAAACCACTTTATGTTCAACATTCCTTTGTCCATTTTTCAAATTACTTTGAGAAAGATGTCTTGAAGTATAATTTTTTGATGTTTGTGAAAACTTCTGTAACATCCAAATTTCCAAACCCAATTTTTCATTTTTAAATTCATATAAAAACATTTTTCATAAAAACCATCTCAATAAAATCACAATATCAAATATAGATCATCATCAAAATATCAGAGTGTCCCAAAATATTCGGATTCATAAACTGCAGACGAATTTGTACAATCAAGTATTCTCCTTCCCGCGATCCTCAGAAGTACTTGAAACACAATTAATCAACAACTATAAAAACAAAGCTTAGTGAGTTCCCCAAAATACCACATACAACACAAAACAAAATAAGCAGCTATGAGTTATTAGCAACCCTAGAGACTTCCCGAGGACTCAGTGGGGAAACAGCACACCCGGTGGGTTATCAACAACCATGGAGACTACCTGAAGTCTCAGCACACACAGTAACACATATCGCAGTAATAGCACATAGACCCAGTTGGTCATCACAAATATAAATATATTCTACCACGCGGGTAAGAATAGTGAGGGGACTCACCTTGCACAGATGACTGATAAAACTCACACCCAAACTGTCGGAACTAGACTCCACCTAATAATTAGACCAAATAACCCTAATTTATAATTAATATAATTTTCTATACTCCACTAGTTCCAAGCCAAGTCTAATCCACATTTAGGGCAAAAGACCATTTTGCCCCTTCAAATCCCTCACAATTCCACCTAAGGCACAAATTGTCATAAAGTCAATGGAGTCAACACGTGGCCGTACGCAGGGCGTACCCAGCTCTACGTTGGGCATAAAGCACAAGGCAGGAAGGATCGGGCTCACAACTGGCTACACTGGCGTAGCCAGGATTACACTCGGCATACATGGCTGAATCTCAAAACTCGAATTTTAATGTCTTAATCATGAATACATTTACTCCAACCTCAGATCTGGCCCTTAAAGGATGTCCTAATCCATAAAGTCTCTGACTTTATGCCTTTGCATGGCTAAAGAGAACTTAATCCCAAAAGCCTAACTTCTAACATCACCAAAAGCTCCATAACATATGCATGGAACAAAGGAAATAACCAAGCTAACATTTTTATGACTCTAAGCACTCTAAAATATCTGGAAGCACAACTCATATGTTCTAGAGTATTCCATACTGACAAAGATCAAGGTTTTGGGACAAAAAAACACAAATCCAAGCGTCGACAAGATCAACCAAAATAAACTCCAAGGTATGAACTTTATACCTTCAAAAGATGAACAAAGAGATGTACATTCTAGATCCAAAGCTTGAATGCAACACCACCTCTTGAATGATCTTCCTTTATTATCAAGAATACTCAAAAATCACTCACAAGCTTCAAATCTCTCTCACAAGGGCTTAGGTTTTGATATTAGGGTTTAGAGGGATGGAGGTTGATCATAAGAAGGTCCAAGGGGGATTATGATGCTTAAATAGAGGTCAAAACCCTAAAAATTTAGGGTTTAGGAACTGCACGAGTATGCCCAACGTACTCACATGTAAGCCCAGCGTACTCTACCTTTGACCCACCATAAATCTGCTGACTTACGCCCGACATACAGCTTTGTATTCCCAACGTAAGTGTCTTGCTTGCAACAATTACGATATAAAGGACTTAAATGAAAATACTTGACATCAGGTGTCACAATTCTCCCCCACTAGAATCAGACTTCATCCTCGAAGTCAGCCTCAACGAAGAGATCAGGATAATGTTCTCGCATCTCAGCATCGGGCTCCCAATTCCACTCCAAGCATTTCTGATGTTGCCACTGAAATTTGACCAAGTTTACTACCTTGTTCCTCAAGGTCTTCACCTTCCTATCCAGAATCGGCAGCGGCCTCTCGATGTAATTCAGGTGACCATCGACCTGAATGTCCTCTAAAGGAACCACAGCTGAGTCATCGGCTACACACTTCCTCAACTGAGAAAAATGGAAGGTGTCATGAATCTGTCTCAATTCCTCAGACAACTCTAACCGGTATGCCACCTTGCCTACACAGGCTATTATTCTGAAAGTAAAATATATAAGATAAACAATATTTATCATAGGAATCAAGATTTATATGGATAGATCTAGGCGGCTAAATTGGTCTGAGTCAAAGTAAAAGCATTAAAATATTGAAACGGTTTAAGATGCAAGACTCCAAACTTGTAACCTTTCCATTGTAACAATCTTAATGTCCTACCACACCTGATAAGGTAAGACACCTGAATAGTTCTTTTATTCTTCTACTATTATATCTATCATAAATTTTGTGTTATGTACTATACCAGATATACTACATGTCTTATGTATGATGAGCAGTACAATAGAAACTAGATGGTTGTCACTACAGTACTACAAATAATATTCTTAAGTACCATCAAAGGACTGGAGATATATTTTTACTTTATGGAGATTTGAATAATGTACAATGTTATGATAATGTGAGCTTCCAACCTAATTGAGACGATTCTCAATCTAAATCTGACAATATCATCATTATGAATGGAGATACAATTGATTGATGTAATTCCAAACATAGCATAGGAAGTGTAGTTTATAAGGAATCAAATACATCATCACACAATATGCAACTCTACAACCTATAGGTATTATGAAGTTCGTTGATGACTCGTCGTAGTTCATAACAATAAAGTACCTATGTTGATGTGTTATGAAAATATTGTTACTATGGTATTTGCAAAGGAACTTATAATAACTCATGGTAGTCGATGCATTATGAAAGGATTTCACTTTGTCCGGAAGACATGACTAGTATTGTTCCTAATAGTTCATAAAAAAAAAGTCTCATTCGCTTGCAAAGCTCATGCCTCGTGTTAATCATGGTGATCATGTCGTAGGAATTAAACTTCATTTAGACTTGGAAATTCAATACACGAATACATGAATTTGTGTGTGACACGACACGACACAAATACATCTTGAAAATTAAGATAATAACTTATTTCTCTTCATCTATTTGTGTTGTGTCTAACATATGAGAACGACACAAATACACAAATTTTCAGATCTAACTTCATTGCACTAGTAGCTAGTTTTTATATGTAAACTTCAATATTTAGATATTGAAACATTAAACATTTTTTAAGGTCATGAATTAATATACATTGTATGATTGTTTGCATGCATATTATTGTGTTCTATATTAGAATGTTTAATCAATGAATAACAACTGATTATTCAAGATATATATTGTCAATCATCTTATAGGAATAACAATGAACTAAGACTAATGTGAATGTTAATAAATATTCATCATTGATGGATATGATTCTTGTTAAGAGTTAAATTCACAGGTAATCATTAATGGTAAATACTGGATTGGCCCAAACTCAAGATGTCACTTCATGGATCGACGTCATCAGGGTGAATCTTGAAAATGATCATGTATGTATGACCCACGATATATGTTGACTTTTGAATGATTGAATCATTATACATTGTTGTAGTTAAACTTTGTCTTGAACAAAATAGTTATAGATGTTAATGTCAAGTACAATGTGAAGCTTATGATGATAGTATATATTCAAGACAAGATTTGATCATCTACTTGTTGGAGTGTGATATCACTAGGTCTCTTGATGAATCGAATAAATGTTGGTATGTGACCATACCTAGACTATATTAACAAGCTGGTCAACCAAGTTTGAGAATCTTATTTGAGTTGACAAATCCATAAATATATATATATATATATATATATATATATATATATATATATATATATATATATATATATATTATGAGTTTGATTTGATATACGTCTCAAGTCAGAACAAATGGACATAAGATAACAAGTTATTTAACATAGAATTATAATGAACCATTTGAGTAGCGGCCTATCAATGAAACACTATGGGGGATATAGATGGTATACCATTTACGTGACTTCTACCTAATCCAGTTGTTTCCTTTTGCTTGGCCATGACGGTTCGTTTCCGATAACTCTAAGGCATGATGCATAACCTTATGTTTGTACGGGGAATAGTCGTGGTGCACATAAAGTAGGCAGACACCCTCGTTAGGGGAGACCATTCTTTCCAAAAAAAAAAAAAAAACAAAAACAAAAAAAAAATAAACAAAATGATAATATTAAAAATAAACATTAAATTTTAATGTATGTTTTGTAGATATGGGTAACGACATGTAAGCAGACGTTTATCGGTATCCGACCATAATTTTCTTCACCAAATGATACTCATCATCACATTATAATGAAATCCAGTTTTAAGAATTGAGTTTCGACAAATTGTTTTTAATTTTCATTGCGTTGTAATTGTTTGGTTCATTTAAAGTAACGTATGATTTCCACATGTATTCTTTAAAAGAAGAATGTATTTGTGATACTACTGCCCAACCCTTTGGAGGGGTTAGGGGACCATTAGAATAGAAGTGCACATGATGTTTGTTTGTCATGACTCCCTTCGTAATTTGTGTTGCATTCTCCCTTAGCATTTCGAAAAAAAAAAACATCTCAAATTTCTTATCTTCTTTTTAACCCATCACCATTGTAGAAAATTTTCATTTTATAGTGAAATATATGACCAAGAATAACGTTTGTCATTTAGCTTTTTTTTGCAAGATTTATAGAGAAAAATTGTATAACGTCATAGATTTATAAATGCAAACATGCATCTGTATTCTCTAGCAGACAGTATTTACAATTTATGTTTTCGCATTCATGAAAACTAGATATTAAATTGTTAATTTATAGCTTTTAATTTGCATTTTATCAATTTCAGTTGCTACTATCATATTGTATATTATGGATACATGTGACTTTGAGCTGAATAGTAGATAATATAAAAGTAGAAACACTTGGCAACTGCAAACCGTGAAATCTAAACATGAATATGAGAGGTCAATATGAGATGGATGAGAGAGAAACGTCCTCCGTCTCATATTCTTCCTGTTCTAGAAGGGACTATGGGTCGACTGTCGACGTTAGACCAATGATTATGTACAAAGAAATCATAACGGTAAGTTCGAAATATTCTATGAGTAACTTAAAAAGAAATACGTTATAATGGGTTGAAACATCGAGAAAAATATGCATGTGTATGCAAGTATAAATGTCTTTTAATTAACTTTATATAACTAAGATGAGTTTTCAAAATTTTGAATTGCACATGAATCAATACATTATGTTTTTTGCTGCATGCCAATATTCATAGGACATGAAGGCTATACGACTATCCATTACGATATAAAATTATCTTACATACACTTCACAAGAAGCATTCATTACTTAGACTAATATAAACTTGTAAACATACACATAACATATACTTTGCTATATTTGAGACAATGAGTTCCCAAAGCTTGTCCCATATTTTTCTTGATGTTTTTCAGAACCATGTTATTAACATTTTTCTGAGATACGCCCATATCAGGTATTCAGCCTAGCCTCTAGCTAGCGAGATTCATGATTTTCGCTACACTAAGCTATTAAACACATGTATGCAAAAGTCAGAACTGTTAAATAACAACTTATTTTTTTGTAAAAATAGGTTAGTTTTCAAAAAGTATTATAGAAATAGGTTAGTTTTAGAATGTATTGTAGAAATAGGCTTTTTTTTTTTTTTTTTTTTTTTTTTTTTTTTTTTTAGTTGGGCCCACTATTTGTCGTTCATTCCGACAATGATATATATATATTTTCAAGTAACCCCTTAACTTTCATTGTTTTTCTATTATTTATATCTTTCATTGATTAATTCAAAATTTTACATTCATTATATATTATACATAAATAATTATTATAAAATATATAATTATAATTTATGTATTATTCTTAAGTAGTTATACCATTAAATGAATGATACAAATATCTTCAAATAGATATTAATATTAAATATATTACGTCGGAAAATTAAAAGATCAACTATAAACGATATTACATTCAAAATATACATTAAATTAGAATTTAAATTAAACACTAAATCATAATATTCGTAATGATATTTTTATTATCGTTTATTTGTAAATATGAGAAAATCTTAGTCCACAATGCCTAAAATGTATAGCATGAGTTGTCACTATTTGTGAAAACTCTATAACTATGTTATTTGTCTTTACTCAACTGCAAAAGCAAAACTCTTCTGCACACTCAAATGTAACTGTTGATGAAAACTCAGTAGAAGTAATTGAGTGAATCGTCAAATCATCTCACTTTTTTTGTATTATAAATTCTCTTTCTTATAATCGATATTTTTTCATCTCTTCCAACCTAGCAAATGGATTTCTCTTACAATTCTTGAACTTAAATCTTTCCTTCTTCTTTTTCTTCAACATTTGTTCATCCATAACAAGGTACATATTATTGGCTTTATGTCATATATTTAATAATAGTAATTATCATATGTAGCATACTCATTAATCTCTTTTTTAAATTTTGATTTATTTTGCAGTTAGATTTGGGTATATATCATTATGACTCTAGATCGTCCGTTTATGATTAATTTATATTGGGGTGGTAATATTAAATATGAGAATGGTATCATAAAGGGAGACCATTCAACTTTCTCTACTTCAAATATTGTTAGGCACAAAATGGGGCATGAAGTATTTAAAGATTTATGTTATGCACATGTTGGAGTTGAAAAAACATCACATAAGTTGAATATCTCATTATGCTATCAATTTGGAGGGCAATCCACTATTTCGCGGGTCATAAGTGATTCAAGTCTAGACGTAATGTATTATTTGGCTGAGAATGTTTGCAAATTATTGGGGTCAAGTTTTAATTGAAGTTGAAAAAATAATGTCGCCTACAAGTACTAGTTTTGTAGATCTCCTTCAAAATTTTGAGGTGTTGGAGCCCAATCCATCAAATGTACCATTTCCTTTGCCTGATTGTGGTACATTTGAGGGAGATTGTGATGAAGCCAACTCATTATATAGTGAAGATACTAGTAGCGAGTCATTATGTGTTGGGGAAGATTTTGATGATGATGGTGTGTGTGAAACTCCAGTTATGAACTTTATGAGTAATGTTGGAGATATAGGAGACGGTGACATAGCTGGTTTGGAAGACCGCATTCACATAGATGTTTGGAAGGAGTCAGAAAATAAAATAAGGTTAGGAATGCAATTTGAAAGTAAGTTGCAAGTAAAAAAGGCAATGACACTTTGGTCTATCAACCAAAATAGAGAGTTCAAAGTGTATGATAGTAATTTCATGCAAAGGTACAAGAATGTGCGCCTTAAAAAGTTTTGTTGGTCTATTGGTAGCACCACATAAAGAAGAAAGTTTGTTATGTATATGAATGAAATAAAAAATATCAATCTTGAAGCTTGGTAGTATTTAAAGGAAATTAAAAGAAGCCAATGGTGTTTTTTATATGATGACAATCGTCGATGGGGTTTCTTGACAACAAATATCTCTGAGAGTCTGAACAATGCACTTCGCGGAGCAAGACAGTTACCTATCAGGGCGTGTATTGACCTTACATTCAATAGAACTATACAACTTTTTACAAAGTACAGTGATATTGCAATGAATTGCAATACACCTCTACCATCATGTATGTGGCGTCTCTTTCGAAAGCGAGAAACTTGTGCACAAAGCCATACATTAACCGAGTTTGACTACAGTGAAGGTGTCTACAGAATTGTCACAAAGTTACAGATAAATGACAAAGGAGGAAATACATACACTGTCCATTATTTTCAACAAACATGCACATGTGGTAAGTGGCAAATGGAAAGATTTCCATGTTCGCATGCTATTGCAGTTTGCGGTTATAGAGGGGATAACCCTATTTCTATTGTTAATACTGTGTACACTACTATGACGTATAAACAACAGTATACGTCGGCTTTTGTCCCACTTTCTCATGTTGATTATTGATTAGAGTCGGATTGGAAGATTAAAACAGATAACTCAAAACTTTCTGTGCATAGAGGCCGGAGGCGTGCAAATCGATTTCATAACGAGATGGACATTCGTTATCCCGACGAACCTCACAAATGTAAACTATGTCACCAAACTGGTCATAATATAAGAAATTGTCCAAATTCCCAGCCAAGATTCAATGCGACGTGAACTTTGTAACATTTTCAATTAATGATTAAGTTACTGTTTAACTTGTATTGTAATTTTACGCTTAATTCGTATTGTAATATCGTTTTTAATTGTTCTTGTAATTTCGTACTGTTGTAATATATTCAATATTGGTATCTATTTGAAGGTCTTTATAAACTCTATTTAAAGGTATAATTTGTAAATAATAATACATAAGATATAATCATATATTATAGAATAAAGTAATCTATCTACCCTAATAAAAGAAAATAACATTGTCACATGTCATCACCTTATTCACTATGCCACATGGCATTTTATCTATTTTTCCAATTACCTTTAATTCCACTTGGCAAATTCTAATTTTTTTTGCTTTTAAATTAAAAAATCCGTAATGAAAATACAATATATCAATTTCCCTGAATTTAAAGATCAATAACTACTTAAAAGCTCACGTAATTTTTGCAAGGGATGTATTAATTTCAAATAAACCTTCTTAATTATCATCAACAAAATTCTGTCAATCCCTTTAAAAATAACGTTAATTTGGAGAGACTTTTCAAACATTCCTTCGCTCACGTAATTTTTGCAAGGAATGTATCAAACTTTTACATCTTTTCCAAAAATCATTTTTATAAATTACTTTTTATGTATAACTCAATTCTATTCATCTGTTATCACTGTCTCTTGCAATATTGAGTTTACAGCATCGTCTTCTAAAGTCTTGCATCATCACAGTGGAAAATCTTCTTTTCAATCATAGAGTTCAATCCATTCGGTAAGTTTATAAAAAAAACTACTTTTAAATTGTTTGTTTATCTTTTGTTTCTTCTTGTGTTTTTTTTAATGTGTGTGTTGTTTTTTTTAACATCTTCTCAATGTGTATGTGTGTGTGTGCGTTAACTGTTTATGTTCATGTGTGTTTGTGTTTAACTGTTTATGTTCCTAAATCAATCCAATATAAAACGCATGATTCTGACTTTTGAGTTTTCATTCCATGTATCAAAATGTGGTAGATGAAAACAGGGGCGTTAAAACGTATGATTAAATGTCTGTAACTCTCTATGTATAAGTTCTGGAGCAACATTGAAGTTGTAAATAAATAAGATGAACAAGGATTTTTTATGTAGACTTTTGTTAAACAGGAGACTTAGAATGAAATAAATTGTCTTATAAAAGCCCCTGTTTTCCATCCTAAGTCCTTGCTTTCAACCTTGGGAATCAAAATTGAAACCATTTACAGCAATATAATTAAAAAAATTAATTGCTATTCATGTTTTTGTTCAACTATGCTGTTTTAGGTGTTTTCCTACTTATTTGAAAGTTGTTATATGTGTTTCATGTGATGGAATGGAAACAGGAAAAGGAATGGAATACTCTATTATCACTGTTATTGTTTTTTTTTGTTATAATGTAGATTAATTAAAGTGAAAAATACAAATACTTTTTTCTGTCCCCAACTGTTTACTATTTTTGTATGACCAAGGGTCAAAAACGTCATTTTTACATTTTTCTTGGTTGTTTACACATTTGGTACATATTAACCTAAATGTGAATTTGCATACATTCAATCTACTTACAATTCAAAAAAAACATATAAATATTCTTCATAACTCCAGTCGTTTCATTACCCATAGCAGATAACAAACTGAATACCTCTTAGAATCATGATAACATCAGTGCTGTTACAGGTGTTATTAGAAAAAAAAAACTACAAAAAAGGTATGCTTTAATTGGGATGGTTTTTCAAAACAAATATGCTTTTATTATAGCAAAAAAGGAAGTGGTTATATTTTTGTTTTACTATTCCATATTTTGTATTTTGGGCATTGCTGCAGAACTGACTTTGTTTTGCTATTTATTTAAAAGTGGTTATATTTTTTTTGGTGTGATGGAATGGAAACAGGAAATATGGAATAGGATGGTCTATTATCACTATTATTGTTGATTTTTTTATGTTTTAATGTTGATTAATTAAAGTGAAAAATACTAATAATTTTTTTTTGTCCCCAACTATTTATGATTTTTCTATGAGCAAGGGGCAAAAACGTCATTTTTACAAATCTGTTGGCTATTTAACACGTCTGGTCCATATTGACCTAAATGTCTATTTGCATATCTTCAATCTGCAGAACCGACTTTGTTTTACTGTTTTATGTAAAAAAAAATGAAAATTCCATTTTATAACAACTTCAAATAAAGTAACTCTCCTCGGAAGATACCGAATACAATTTTTTCCCCTACAATATGGTGAGCCTGTTGAACATCGTATGTTTTGATTATAGTTGTGGGACACTTCTGGTATCTTCGGATTACTCATGTTATGTTTAATACCTTTGTAAACTAATATATTTGTAAATTAATAATTTTTAGTCATTATGATTTCTCTCTAACCTTATTTGACAGTTTTACACATTTGGTACATGATTGACCTAAATGTTTTGTCATTTATGCGATTAAAATGGTGTTTTCTTATGTTCATTACTACATTCTTGCATAGATTAATGGAAAATAGGAAGATTAGCATGATAAGTGAGTTGGCTCTCTCACAAGATGACTATACCATTAAGGTCCGTGTCATCCGTTTGTGGAGACAAACTTCATGGAATCAACAACTTCGTATGATTGGCATGATATTGATGGATGAAATGGTATGTTATAACTTACGTATGTTAACTTACAATTATATGTATGTGTATTATAACTTACATATTTTATATATCATTACATTTTTTGTATGCTTATTAATTAATATTTGATTTTTTATCTTAAGGGCTCAAAAATTGAATGTAATGTGGACAAACCATTTGCATCGCTTCAAGGAAAATCTTTTGAAGAATATGGTGATTACTACATTCATAAACCCACATTAGGGTTAAATGAAGGTGTTATAAAGTTTGTTGACGGTCCACACAAACTCTATTTCCAGTATAACACGAAGATAACTAAATGCATAGATTTTTGCGAGCCACAGAATTCTTTTGATTTTGCAGACTTCCAACAACTTCATGATAATGCAATAAACCCAAAAATTTCATTTGGTTAGTGCATTTCCTTTCAACCCATTCCTAATGGATTAAAATATTTAAATTTCATTTTTTACACCACAAAAAAACATACTTACATTTTTCCTTTTGTATAATATAGATGTTATTGGAAACGTTTTCCGGTGTTTTCCATTGGAACCTGCAAAGGATAGACAGGAAAAGAAAATCACATTCAAAATGGAGGATTTAGAGTGAGTTTCATTTTTTATACCTATAATTACTCTTTTTCTTATATATTTTTTTATTTCATCATTTTTTACAGAGGACATGAAGTTTTTGTTACCCTATGGGGAAGGTAGGCTGATAAAATTAATGCATATGTCTCTAAGCATACGGTCATTTTGTATTGCTTATTCAATGTGCTAAGTTGAAGCTTGTCCGAGGTACTTACTTAGTAAATTGTTAATTTGTAATATTTATATTAATAACATATCTATGATATGAATTTGTTAACATGTGGAAAATTATTAAATTTCATTTTCAGATCGTCCTTATGTCAATAACACCTACTTGGCCACAAAACTTTATATTGAAGATGACATTGAGGAGATAACAACTTTCAAAAAAAGGTTATGTGAAATTTCTACATGATTTCTCATTACGTTTTAATGTTTCAATAATATAGAGTTATACTATCTAACATTAATTATCTTAATTAGTTTACAAGCAAAAAAAGGCTCTTTGACTTCCTCGGTTTCACGTACCTCGGGTTCATCCATCATGTATTCACTACATGATGACTTTCTTCAAAAAAACTCTTTTCACCAAATATCCGCTATTCACGAATTGAACGAGGTATATGAATTATTCTTTTTTATTTAGTTAATTCAACACTTAAATATTTAATACACCTAAATACACCTAATATCATAGGGAGGTTGTGCGGTAATTCTTGGCACAATAAAGATGTTTGAAGATACACGGAACTGGTATTATAATGTTGCAAACATTGCAAGTCAAAGGTTCAAATAGTTAAGGTTTCAGATGAGACGGTCAATGGCTTGGACCAGTTAGAAGAGAAAGAGATTATGGTTTGTACAAATGAAAAGTGCAAGGACAAACTTATTACTGCTGAACCAAGGTGTGTAATAAATATTAACTTAGTATATTATTCTTCAATATTATTATATTTAATTTAAACTTTTAAAATTTTTATGTGTTTTTTTAGTTTTATGATCAAAGTTCGAGTTCAAGGTTTAGTTGGTGTTGTGAGTCTTACGATCTTTGATCGTGAAGTCAGAAATATTATGAAATTATCTGCTGCTGATTTATTATCAAAATATGAAAGGGTATATGTTTCTTATATGCAATACCATCTTGCTAAATACAACTTAATTTTCACACATTGATTTAATTGTTATTATTTATTAATATATTTTTGTAGTTTGGCAATACAAGTCAGTTTCCTATTGAGTTGAATGCCATGATCGACAAAAAATTGGCTTTCAAGATTATTGTCAAGACATTTAATGTTTCAAGATTTGGTCGTTCTTACAACATTTCCAAAATAACGGATAATGTTGACATTATTTCTGCTTTGGAGAAAATTGAAAAAAAGAGTAGGATTGAACAGGTAACTATACACCAATTTAATTAATTTAAAACATACATATTTTGAAAATACTATTTCCTAGATTCCTTAACCCAACATACTGTTTTATTTTATCATTAATTTTATAGGACATGGATACTGAATCTGTTAATATAATTGGCTCAGAATTTGCATCTCAAGAAACAGTGGGTTGTAAGGTAAACTACATTACTACATCATTTACTCTTATATATGTTATCCTTTATATTACTAAACAACATTATTTCTTTTTTTATTTAAGGATGATACTTCCCACACTGCTGATAATACTCATGTGTCGAATATTCCCTCTGGCATATCATCAAGAACAGTCAACAACCTCAATTCACCGCCTACAAGTGCCAAACGTAAACTTGTAGATGTTTACGATCTTGATGATGACGTTTATGAATCAACAACGAAACCTAATGCACCCCGTATTGGAGATGGCAAAGTTGGTGGAACAACAAAATTGTTGATTCCTAAAGTTGAAAAGTGATCATGTTTATGAAGACAATAACTTCGATCTTTCTTTTCTACTCTATGCTATTTTCTTAGACATTTTTTTAATATTTGGCACTTTTACTTGCATTTTATTTGGGATTTTAATATTTAGTGTTTGGTACACTATGAATATTCATTCGTGTTAGGTTTTACTTTTTCTTTTATTATAAGCAACTTGGATTTGACTCTTTATGGGATCATTATATTGCACTTTATATTTGGACATTACATTCATATTTTCTTCATAATCGTCTTTTATATTTCGGTTAATAAAGGCATTTTTATTAGTAGTCTCTTTCACATCCTACAACAAAATTTAACCGGTCATCCAAATACAAAGAATTTTTTACTCTTATTATTGGATATATATTTAAATCTTCACAACTTTCTTTTACAGTCCATGATTCTTATACATAATTTGACTTGATGTATAAGTAATTTTATGCTACATTTTAAATCTCATAATTTGCATAGTCAATTTTGTTATTTATATCAAATACTAGCCTAAAGCTCGTGTTTTACACGGTTTGACAACTTAAAATATCAAAAGTAGAAATGTTGTATAATGTTATAAATAACAAAAATATAGTCACCACTATGGCCACTATAAGTGATAAAATAATAATTTTATAAATAACAATAGTATAGTCGTATATTACAATTTTCCAAAACTTTTAATTGTGATATGATGCAACAGATGTTTATTTTAAAAAAGGAAGATATTTGTTTTCATGAATTTTAATTTTTCTATCTTTATATAGTAGCTTAATTTATGGAATCCTCATTTACGTTTTTTTTTAAATTGATTTTATAATGTAAGAAGTTAGTGCCTAATATGCAGGAATTACTATTAGAATGACATAGAGCAATTATAATCATGAACAAATTTGGTCAATCCCTTTCAATATCACGCTAACTTGGGAAACGTTTCAAAGATTGATTCATGACAGCTAAAATTTTGGAATACTCTATAATTTCAAACCAAACTTTGATATCCTTTCCAAAAATAATTTTTATAAATTACTTATTATGTATAACTCATTCTAATTCATCTGTTATCACTGTCTCTTGAAATATTGAGTTTATTACAACATCGTGTTCCAAATTTTTGCATCATCACAGTGGAAAATCGTGTTTTCAATCACAATCACAGAGTTCAATCATTTCTGTAAGTTTATAAAAAACTACTTTCAAATTTTTTGTTTATCTTTTGTTTCTTTTTGTGTTTTTTTAATGTGTGCGTTGTTTTTTTAACATCAGTTTATGTTTATCAATGTGTATGTGTGTGTACCTGCTTAACAGTTTTTATGTTCCTGTGTGTCCAACTTGATGATGAATTGCAGAACATTACAACTGACCATTCTTTGATAATGAACTACTATACCCTGTTTTCCATCCTAAGTCCTTGCTTTCAACATTGGGATTCAAACTTGAAACCATTTACAGCAATCTAATTAAAAAAATAATTAACTGTTATGCATGTTTCTTTTCAACTGTGTTGTTTTATGTGTTTTCCTACTTATTTGAAAGTGGTTATATTTGGTTTGTGTGATGGAATGGAAACAGGAAAAATAATGGAATGATCTATTATCACTATTATTGTGACTTTTTATTGTTTTGATGTTCATTAATTAAATTGAAAAATACTAATACTTTTTGTTGTCCCCAACTATTTATGATTGATGTATGACCAAGGGTCAAAAGCGTCATTTTACAATAAAATGTTCACTATTTTGCACATTTGGTCCATATTGACCTAAATGTGTTTTTGCATAGATTCAATCTACTTCCAATTAAAAAAAATACATATAAATATACTTGACAACTTCAGTGGTTTCATTAAGCATAGCATGTAAGAAGACAAAAGAATCTTGCTTAACTTTTTTAATGAACGTATATCCATTTTACATAAGGGTATTTTTGTCATTTTCAATGAATCTTTTCGTATCTTTGTCTTATTAATCTCTTAATCTCTTGTGCTGAATCTTATATTAAACCAGGTCAAAAATCGACATTCTGGCAACACATTTGACGGCCTCATCTAAAAAACGGGTTTTCCTTCTCTTTTCTTATTTTTATTATTTATGAAATCCTTCCTTTATTTGTTATATCAAAATGAATATAAATTTTTTTGATGCAAGTATTAATATATATGCTTATCTATATTTTCCTAAATCTTTTAAAATTAAGTTTTTTGATAAAAATCTTATTTTAGTTGTTATGTTAATATACACTTCTTTGTTGGAAGTCTTGATTTTTATTAATGTAAAGTATACAATTCTTAAATATTACCAAATTTTAACTACTATATATTAATCGTATTAATGTCTCCGTTTATTATAATTTTCAATTTTAAATTTTAATGAAATTATTGTCAATATACTTTTTATTACATAATTTTTTTTGTTCTTAAGCTACAAACACGATATGGATTCAAACGAACATAAACAAAGGCGCAGATATAGAAAATTATATTTGGATCAACGAAGATCCAATGTTATGTCCAACTTGTCATTTGGTAATTCTTTATCTACATCTCAATTTACTTTCATATTCAGTAATGTTTTATATGTAACGGCTGTTGAACAAATATTGTTTTATATCTTCTGACGTTTTATCTCATATAATCATTGCATTTTCTAATTAGCCATTCTTATTATTATATATTCAATGTAGGTTATTCTCGGCAACATTTATCATCTTCAAACAATTGTACACATATTCGCGATGACAATGAAAATGTGAATCCAAATATATCATCCGCATATCAACATACAAGTTTCCAATCTACTTCAACTTTTAATATTAGAAATGCATTGTCTAATGATGCTAGAGAGAACAGAAAACTTAGAAAATTATATTTGGATAAGAAAAGATCTAATCATATGTCCACATCATCTAATGGTATATCGTTTTTTATCGGATAGACTAATTTTTTTTATACTATATTTTTAATCTCACACAATCCTCTGGATCTTAAATATTATTATGTATTACCTACACTCTTTGCTACATTGCAATTAATTAAACATTATTATTTTATAAATCGCTTATATATATATTATATATATATATATATATATATATTATATATATATATATATCATTTCTAATTATATCATTAAAAAAATTATTTTTCTTATTATATGTAACTTACACTTATTTGTATCTGCATTATAACTTACATATTTTATATTATTTTACAGTGCTTTCTAATATAACTACCAACATTCAAACACCTTCATCAACCAAGTTTGTCAATATTGTTGGTAACAATGAAAATGTCAGCCCAACTTTGTCATGTGGATATCAGCAAACACGGGTTCAGTCTATTTCGAATATTTATATCGACAGTCCATTGTCGAACAAGGCTAAAGATAAACGAAAAGAAAGGAAAATTTATTTGGATACAAGAAGATCCAATCACATGTCCACCGTACCAATCGGTATATGATATATATCATGCATCTTACTAATTTAATTGTATCCATATAAACTTATTCTAAATAGTGTAATAAGATACTATGTTATTTTACATGTTTCTTAATTGTTCCCTAATTAATACATATTTATATGAACTTATCTTTTATTGATAGGTAATGTTGGTCGTGATCAACAACATTTTCAATATGCTTCTGATTTTTTACAAGAACTCCGTTGTCCAACATTTCGAATGGTACGACTACGTTTATATTCAACTTACTGTTTGTTACTATATATGGTACACATAAAATAATATGTATTCATTTTTTATTATTTTTATTTTTTATATATTTACTTTATAAGTTTAATACTAATTGTCATACTTTTATTGTTAGTAAATGCACAATATTCTACCTTGTCCGGTGACATGAAAGCTACGAATTCATCTTCAGTCACTCAAGCTTCTTCCAGCAATTTATCATGCAGAAAACTAAATAGAAAAAGAAAGATTCCAAATATATCTCAGATACCCATTTTGGACCTAACATCAGATGAAGATTTACGTGATCAACAAATCCGTCAACAGTTAATATCAGGTATTGCAAAAGGAAAATATTAATTTTTATTTATAATCCCCTTTTATATTTAATTATTACTTGTTGCAACATTAAATTATTTCAAAGTTTTACAAATGTTTTTATTAAACAGATTACTTGGACCATGGTGACCAGACATTTGTGTGTACGATGTGTCATGCACAATTATGGACATATGAAGCTCTTAAAGGCAATACTTCCGGAAAGAAAACTTCTTATTCCATGTGTTGTGGTAACGGAAAAGTCGAGCTTCCTCAATTAAAACAAGCTCCAACAAATTATCAAAATCTCTTTCGTAATGTTGATCCAAAAGGAAAAAATTTCATGACGAATATTCGTCGATTCAATTCGATGTTTTCCTTTACTTCAATGGGTGGAAAAGTTGATTCTTCCATTAATAGGGGCAATGCTCCATATGTTTTCAGACTTAGCGGTCAAAATTACCATTGTATGGGAAGTCTTTTACCTATAGACGGATCCAAACCAAAGTTTTCACAACTATACATATATGATACTGAAAATGAAATAACAAATAGACAACGCGCTTTCAGGTATAACTTTATTAATTTTTTTATAAACCATTACTTTTATAATTTTGATATAATTATTTACTTGCTAAATTTTACATATAACCGTTGTTGTTAACAGTACACAGAACGAAGGTTGCACATCAACTTCTCATTCTCTTGATATTGAAATCATTAGATTTTTGAAGGACATGTTGGATTCGACCAATGAGTTGGTTAAGTGTTATAGAATGGCCAGAGACTGTTTTGATGAAAATCCTCATATAGATCTAAAGTTACGTCTTATAGGAAGAAGGCAACAAGATGGAAGGACATATAACTTACCTACTGCTTCTGAGGTTGCTGCTTTAATTGTTGGTGACATTGGCGATGCAATTGATAATAGAGATATCATCGTAACAACTAAATCAGGAAGTCTACAACGTATAAACGAATTACATCCGGCTTACCTTGGTCTTAGTACCCACTACTCTTTCCATATGGAGATGATGGATATAGAGTTGATATACCTCACAGGGATGTTGATCCTTCAACTAATACCAAACGTCGTTTCTGTACAATGAGAGAATTCTTTGCTTATAGAATTCAAGACAGAGTTAATGTTTTTTCATTAATTCTTAATTCAAGAAGGCTTTTTCAACAATTTCTGGTTGATGCTTATACGATGATTGAAACTGAGAGACTATATTACATACGCAACCAGCAAAAAGTTCTTAGATGCGAATCTTATGAAACTTTAAAAAGTGTACAAAGTCATGGTAATACTGATATTTCCAATGTTGGAAAACGTGTTATCTTGCCTTCTTCTTTTACGGGTGGTGCACGCTACATGATGCAAAACTATTTAGATGCCATGTCGCTTTGTAAGTTTTTTGGATACCCAGATTTTTTCATAACCGTAACATGCAATCCAAAATGGCCTGAAATTAAAAGGTTTCTAGCTGACACCACACTTAATCCCGAAGATAGGCCTGATATCCTTTCTAGATTATTCAAAATTAAGTTGGATTCTTTGATTAAAGACTTAAAGAAGAAGAGGTTATTGGGTTTGGTCAAAGCAGGTACCATATATTACAATAATAGTGTTATTAAAATGTTTTTTTATGTTTTTTATTATCTTATAATATTATATTTATTTAAATATACAGTTGTTTATACGGTGGAGTTTCAAAAGCGCGGTCTGCCTCACGCACATATATGTTTATTCATGCACCCTGATTACAAACTCCCTACTGTTGAACATATTGATCGAGTTATTTCGGCAGAAATTCCAAACAAAGATGATGATCCAGAATTGTACTCACTTGTCAGTGAGTTCATGATGCATGGTCCATGTGGTTCTGATAATCCAAAATGCCCATGCATGAGTGAAAACAAGTGTTCGAAAAACTTCCCGAAGCCATTCTTGGAGAATACTTCCGTTGATTCAAATGGTTATCCTATGTATAGGAGACGTAATGATGGATCTTTTATAGAAAAGTCAGGTGTTAAGTTAGACAACAGAAGTGTTGTTCCATATCACAAAACCCTTTTGAAACGATATCAAGCTCATATTAATGTTGAGTGGTGCAATCAAGCGGCTTCCATCAAATATTTGTTTAAATATATTAACAAGGGTCCTGATCGGGCTACTGTTGAAGTTGCACAAAACAACAACGGAGGTGATAATGATGATGCTCCGGTTGATGAAATAAAGAACTACTATGATTGTAGGTATTTGTCTGCGTGTGAAGCTTCGTGGCGTATATATGGATTTGATGTTCATTACAGATATCCTTCAGTTGTAAGGCTTCCGTTCCATCTTCCTGGAAAACAAAATGTTGTATACGGAGCAGATGATGATATTGAAGATGTCCTCAACAAACAATCTGTTTCTTCTTCGATGTTCTTATCTTGGATGAGCTGTAATGAACATAATGAGGATGCACGAAAACTTTCTTATGTTGAGTTTCCTACAAAATTTGTATGGAAACAAGAAGATCGTTGTTGGGAGCCAAGAAAGAAAGGGTTTTCTATTGGGAGGATTCACACAGTTTCACCTAATCTCGGTGAAGCATATTTTTTTGAGAATTCTTTTAAATAAAGTCAAAGGTCCAAAATCATTTCCAGATATTCGTACAGTTAACGGACAAGTATGTCCTACTTTTAGGGATGCATGTTATGCTCTTGGACTTTTAGAAGATGATAGAGAATATATTGATGCCATCGAGGAAGCAAGTCATTCAGGATCTGGTTATTATTTACGGTTTCTATTTGCAACTATGTTAAAGTCTAATAGTTTGTCTAAACCGTGTTATGTTTGGGAAAATACTTGTCAATACTTATCCGATGGAATTCTCTACAATCAACGAATAAGATTAAAGTCTCCAGGTATTATTATTTTTGTCATTCATTACATTTTGTACATTACTTATATAATTTTTAAATGCTAAATATACTATTATTTGAAATTTATATGTTTCTTATAAATATTTAAAAGTTTTTTTATACACATTATTTTTATTACGTGATAATTGTCTGTATTTATCTTTTAATAATTAACTCTGCAATTGTATAGGTTTATCCCTTAATGACGATCAACTTAAAAACTTGACGCTATATGAGATTGAAAAAATTCTACTCCAAAACAATTCAAGCCTTAAAGATTTTGTTGGGATGCCTTACCCTGATCATGATTCGATATCTTCTTCAAACAACCGTTTGATTACTGAGGAGTTAGATTTTGATATGAACAGTCTACAACAAGAATCTCATCAACTACTTGATTCATTAACAATTGAACAACGATCAGTTTTTGATGAAATCATGACAGCTGTTAAACAGAAAAAAGGAGGTGTGTTTTTTGTTTATGGCTATGGAGGTACCGGTAAAACTTTTCTTTGGAAGACTTTATCTGCATCTATAAGATCTAAAGGTGATATCGTTTTAAATGTTGCTTCAAGTGGTATTGCTTCATTGTTACTAACCGGAGGTAGAACAGCACACTCACGCTTTATAATTCCTCTAAATCTAACTGAGGATTCCTTTTGTTCTTTTGCACCGGATAGTGATGTAGCCGAATTGTTAAAAAAAACATCTTTGATTATATGGGATGAGGCACCTATGATTCATAAGCATGCATTTGAAGCCTTGGATCGTTCTTTGAAAGATATATTGAGTTGTGATTTTCGTGGAAACTCAAAATTGCCATTTGGAGGAAAAACAATTGTCTTTGGAGGCGATTTTAGACAAATTCTACCAGTTGTTCCTAATGGAAGCAGGCAAGACATTGTGAACGCTTCTTTAAGTTCCTCTTATATTTGGTCAAGTTGCAAAGTCTTAACATTAACAAAAAACATGAGGTTAAGTGTTCTCACATCTGATATTCAAGAAACTGAATCTTTTGCAAAATGGATTTTGGATATAGGAGAAGGAAAAGTTGGTGGTTTGAATGATGGCGAGGCAATTATTGATGTTCCCACAGATCTTCTCATTGTTGATTCAGTTGATCCTATTGGTTCTTTAATTGGATTTGTCTATCCTTCTATTGTTGAAAATGCCAACAATCCGATTTATTTTCAAGAAAGAGCAATCCTCGCACCGAAGAATGAAGTCGTTGAAGAGATTAACGAGCGTTTGTTAAAATTATTTCCAGGAGATCCACAAGAGTATTTAAGTTCAGATACTCTTTCTCATGCTGATTTTGTTCATGATGAAGTTGATGAAACTTTATACTCTCCTGATGTTCTAAATGGTCTTAGACCTTCAGGTATGCCAATTCACAAGTTGGTTTTAAAAGTCGGTGTTCCGGTTATGTTACTAAGGAATATTGATCAGAAATGCGGATTGTGCAATGGCACGAGGTTACGGGTTATTGCATTGGGTAAACGTGTTATAGAAGCTGAAATAATATCTGGAAGTAATATCGGAAACCGTACGTTTATTCCAAGAATGTCTTTGACGCCTTCGGATAAAAGGATTCCTTTCATATTTCAAAGACGACAATTTCCACTGGCTGTATGTTTTGCAATGACAATAAATAAAAGTCAAGGACAGTCACTATCGAGGGGGGGTTGTTTTTGAGACAACCAGTATTCACTCATGGACAGTTGTATGTTGCATTGTCGAGAGTTAAAAGTAAAGCTGGATTAAAGATATTAATTTTAGATAAAGATGGTAAACTTACCAACACGACATCTAATGTTGTATTTAGGAAGTCTTTGGAAATTTGTAATTCATAAAAATAGGTGTCATATTTTAATAGTTGTTTTTATTATTATACATTAACTTTACTTACTTATTCATCATTTTTTTTTTTATATGTAGCAAATTTTAATTAATTTGTGTTTAATGTTTACATCATTATTGTCGTCATCATTTTACAAATATGTATCATTTTATTAGGGTCGATATATTGAAATAGTAACTTTATTCATTATAGGATTTTGTATTTATGTAAATTATTACAAAAAAACATGTAATTCTTGACAATTTATATTATTTTTTAATAAAAACTCGTGTAATACACGGGTCTCACACCTA